GGTTCCGCCCGTGCGGGGATTACCGCCGACTCAACGACGCCACTACGCCTGACCGCTATCCGGTGCCGCAACATTCAGGACTTTTCGGCGCATCTGGCCGGTACGGGGGTGTTTTCCAAGGTGGACCTGGTGCGTGGATACCACCAGGTGCCCATGCACCCCCTGGACATTCCCAAGACAGCAGTGATAACGCCTTTTGGACTTTTTGAGTTCCTGCGGATGCCTTTTGGACTCAAGAATGCCGCTCAGACGTTCCAGCGCCTGATGGATTCGGTGCTGCGGGACCTGCCGTTTGTGTTTGTTTACCTCGACGACATACTCGTCGCCAGCGCTTCAGTGCAGGAGCACCTGTCCCACCTCCGAGCCCTTTTCACACGGCTCAACGAACACGGATTAATCATCAATCCTGCAAAGTGCCAGTTCGGGGTGTCGGACATCGATTTCCTGGGGCACCGCGTCACCAAGGGCGGTGCGACACCTCTACCAGCGAAGGTGGAGGCTGTTGCGGCGTTTCCTCGCCCGCTCACAGCCCGGTCGCTCCGTGAGTTTCTGGGGATGGTGACTTTCTACCACCGTTTCATCGCCCGGGCCGCACACATCATGCGGCCGCTGTATGAAGCGTTGAAAGGCAAGACCCCCGTCCAGGAGATCGACTGGACAGCAGAGGCGGACGGCGCTTTTGCTGAGGTCAAGACCGCGTTGGCTCAGGCGGCTTTGCTGGCACACCCATCATCTACGGCTCCCATCTCCATCACCACGGACGCGTCAGACTACGCGGTCGGCGCAGTGCACGAGCAGTGGGTGGAGGGCGCTTGGCAGCCGCTCGCCTTTTTCAGCCGCCAGCTGACGCCTAGAGAACGCAAATACAGCGCCTTTGACCGGGAGCTCCTCGGACTTTATTTGGCCGTGCGGCACTTCCGTTTCATGCTGGAAGGCCGTGAATTTACGGCGTTTGTCGACCACAAGCCGCTCACCTTCGCCATGTCAAAAGTGGCGGAGCCTTGGTCGGCACGTCAGCAGCGGCAGCTGTCCTACATATCGGAGTTCACTACGGACATTAAGCACGTGGCTGGCAAGTTGAACCTGGTTGCTGATTGCCTCTCCAGGGTCGTCATCGGTGCCGTCCAGTTGGGCCTGGACTATACTCGCATGGCGGCAGACCAGGTCACAGATCCCGGCGTCCAGGCCCTGAAGGTGGAGAGCGCGGGGCTGCGGTTGGAGGACGTGGTGTTCGGCGACGCGGGCATTACTCTCCTGTGTGATGTCTCTACGGGCCTGGCGCGGCCTGTCGTCCCTGCCAGCTGGAGGCGTCCTGTGTTCGAGGCTGTGCACGGCCTGTCACACCCCGGCGTTAAACCTTCGGTGCGTTTGGTAGCGGCGAAGTTCGTTTGGCAAGGACTGAAAAGGGACGTGAGGACTTGGGCCAGGGAGTGCGTGGCTTGTCAACGCGCTAAGGTGCACCGCCACACGAAGGCCCCGTTGGAGCGTTTCCTGGTGCCTGAGAGGAGGTTTGATCACGTCAACATTGACCTGGTTGGTCCGTTGCCTTCCTCTCAGGGGTTTTTCCTACCTCCTCACCATGGTGGACAGAACGACCCGTTGGCCGGAGGCGGTTCCGCTCGTTTCGACATCAGCCGCAGACGTTGCCCGGGCCTTCATTGCAACGTGGGTGTGTCGTTTTGGCACCCCGTCAGACATTTCCTCAGACAGGGGCTCTCAGTTCACGTCCGAGCTCTGGAACGCTGTGGCAGGCGGTTTGGGGGTTAAGCTGCACAGGACTACCGCTTACCACCCTCAGGCTAACGGCCTCTGCGAGCGCTTTCATCGCTCCATGAAGGCGGCCCTCAAGGCCGGCCTTACGGACGGTAACTTGGTCGACAAGCTGCCCTGGGTGATGCTGGGCCTGAGGACCGCACCTAAGGAAGATCTGCAGTGTTCTACAGCGGAGATGGTCTACGGTCAGCCGCTGAGAGTTCCGGGGGATTTCCTCCCAAATGCATCGGCTCCCTGGTCGGCGTCGGCCCAGCGGGCTTTCCTGCGTGACGCCGCTGAGGCCTTTGCTCCGATCCCTACTACTCAGCACGGTACTCAGGTGTCCCAGGTTCCCGCAGAGCTCCGCTCGGCGGAGCACGTGTTCATCCGGCACGATGCGCACAGAGGCCCCCTGCAGCCCCCTTATGATGGGCCTTTCCGGGTCTTGGAGCACGGGGACAAGCACCTGGTGGTCGACCTGGGTGGCAAGGCCGAGCACGTCTCGGTGGACCGGGTGAAGGCTTCTCACCTGGACTTGGACCAGCCTGTGGTGCTGGCTCGACCTCCGCGACGGGGGCCGCCCCCCGGCCTCGTCCCCTGTCACGGATTTAAGACCTGTTGTTCCGGTCCCGCCCCTTCCGGGGGCCGCACAGGCGGGAGTCACTTTTCCGACTCCCGTGCTCAGGAGTCGTGGGGGTCGGCGTGTCGTTCCTCCCCGCCATGCTGATTTTGTTTATGTGTGAATTCTGGGGGGGCTTGTGTGGTGACACGTTATTGGACATAATTCACCTTGCTTATTGTGTTGCCGCACGGACCCTTTAGTGGGGAACACCTGTAGCTTTAGCTGCCATTCCTGCTAGCTCATCAGGCAGAGCAGTGCATGTGTTAACCTCTCTGAAAGTAATGGATAATAAAGATTGGAACTCCATACTTAATACACCGCCTCCGACTCTCTTTTCACGGCACTACAATACACACATTTCATTGTGAGGTTGATTTAATATACACTAACGGCCCGTCTACACTACAGGCGTCGAAAAAGCTTGAAGCTGGGCGTGTCTGAGGCTTGGCGATTTATTGCGAGCAACGCGACCAACAACCAATCACATGAATCTCCCGCCCCCGACATACAAAGCAATAGCAAAGTTAAAACGAAGTAAACTGGATATAAAATCCCCAAACAGGCGAAAACCTACCAGTTTCATCCACTGTCTCTGCCACCTCCCTCCATGCCTCGCTCCTCCGGTTTGTATCCCGGTAGATGAACAGAGACTGATCATACAGCACCAGGTGATTCACTACCGCTATAATGAATTTTCCCTCCATTTTTTTGAATATGAGGAAATGACCTGCGTAGTCTCTCCCAGCATACACGCGGTTTGATTGGCTAGCTTGTACTGGCAGATTTGCATAAACGGGATTTCATTGGCTGACGCCAGCTTCGAGCAAGCATCGAGCCTCAAAAGTTGAACATTGTTCAACTTTTGATGCCGATAGACGCTCGCGATGCTTGCAACGCCTTGCCATGCTACCCACAATGCAGTTCGGCGAAGTTTGAAAATATCCTACGTCACCCCATTCAAATGAATGGGCGAAGCGTTGAAAGCATTTTTTGACGCCTGTAGTGTAGACGGGCCGTAAGCCTCTCTTCAACAATACGTTGACGTTAGCTAGTCTATTTTATGCTATAGTAGAGCATAGCGAATTTAAACGAACCTTAACAATGCATACAGTAACCTAACTAGCAAACTAACTATCTCACGTACAAGGATGACCTTATTTTAGCAACCTCACACAGAAGCCTTTTGGTATACAGTAGCATCCCACTTAATGTTTTACACTCTCGGATGCTACGCACAGATGGAGCAACCGATTGCTCAAATGCTAACCCAACTCTAAACATTCATTAACGTTAGTTTAATAAAAACACCAGTAACATAACATAGGGTTGACTTACCGAAGAAACTGCATTCATGGACGGTCTGTTTTAACCGCAGATAAATCCTATATTTGCATGACGAATAGTCCACCAGGAACCAACACAACAAACACGGCCGAGTTCAAGTAGTGTTCTCCTCATGAGCTGAGCCCCTGTAGCATCACGGAGCTAATGGAGCTAACGGAGCTAGCAGTGAGACAGAGGAGCTAGGAGCAGCAGTCCCGTTGTCATGAAGGGGGAATCTAACTATATACAGAATATGTTTTTGTGGATCCAGGCTAGAAACACATGTTCATTTTCTGATGTTAAGTTGGACATTTTAACATAGGGTCTACGGGAATTGCTCCCATCTGCATCCATCGCCTATAGTTTGCAGCATTGGGCTTCACCGCACTGTCCCGGGGTTCGCCGCTTGGCTCTGATAGGCCAGAAGTCGGTTTGATTGCATTCGGGCTCGATTGCTTATCCTGTCTGAGTAGCCCGGATGATGCTGCATCGCAATTTTTGACGTCGAATTTTATACACCGAAATATTTGACATCGAATTTTAAGCACCGAAATATTTGACGTCGAATTTTTTTCACTTGAATTTTTGGGATCTGAATTTGAACATTCAAATTTGTTTTAACTTGAATTTTTACATTTGTATTTCACATAGGTAAATTTGAAGCAAAACAAATTCAGATGCATGATTTTCAAAGTAATTATTTTCAATGCTATAAATTCAGTGTCTGATAAAATTCAAATACTTCTGTCTCTTGTTTTCTTCCATAGTTGGGGGTTGTTAATATCGCAGAGAGAAATAACGTCAACAGCCATAAAAGAAAACCTTTTTTTTTAAGAAATAAAAATGTTATATAAATCAGTTTATGAACTATAAATGCACAAGCCCTCTGTAAAAACGACAGAACGTAGATAGGATAGCAATAAAACTAGAAAGTTGACTTTATGTAAATGCTACTAAACTGGAGATGTCTGGCTCAGAGTGCAAACACTCCTAAAGATATGCTACATTTCATACATTTAGCAGACAATGCAGGTGAATAGTGTAACATGTGTTTAACTAAAACATGACAATGAAACTTCCCCTGTTTGGTACGACTCCCTTAGTATTTTTAAAATATCAGGAAGTTATGTTGAATTATGCAAATGTAGTCCGGACACTTAAATATGTATTTTGGATGCTAGACTGAAAGAACTGTCAGCCCAAACTCTAGGAATTTCAGAGCATGAAAAAAAGTGCTTTGCCTTTAATCTCTCGCCTCAAAATGAATGGTTGAGAAGAGATCAGTAATAAAGATGTGCCCCACCTGTAGTTCTCCACAACGTGCAGGTCGGCCTTCAGCGCAGGGAGGAAGAGCTTCAGAACCTCCGGGTTGGCCAGCAGCTCAGGAGGAGTTCCTCCAATCGAAATCATCCACTGCAGGAAATCCTCATCTGATAGGTCGCTTCTCTTTGGGGCTTTGATACGCGTCTCTGACTTAAAGACAACATATGAATTGTTAATCAGCAACACCAAACAGGTATCTTCTAATATATATATATATATATCCTAAGAGTTTACATAAATATAAAAGGAGCCAGATGGTTTGGGCCGTAAATATCCTGTAAGTTTTACTCACCTGTCATTAATGATTTCATGGTGTCTTCAAACGTTTTGCCTCTTGTATTAACAAAGTTAGTGATACTAAGTGGATAATCCTGGATTAATACATTTAAATGTATTAACTTACGTAAGGTGCCGAGGCACCAGACAGGAAGATGTGCACAGGTTCCAGGTTATGCACTCTCTTCAAAGCTTCTGCCACAGCAAAACTGGTGAAGGCACCAAAACTGAAAACAGATCAGGATAGATAGATATTAAGAGAAAACAAGTTGTGATATAACTTATAAATCCTGTATTGGTGACATACCTGTGTCCAAACAGAGCGAAGGGCTTCTCTTTCAGCAGCGGTACCAGCGCAGCAACGACCTCGTCCACAACCTGCTGCAGGCTCTGATGGAACGGCTCTCTGGATCGGCTCTCTCTGCCGGGAAGTCTGACAGACAACACTGAGGGTGATAAAACAAATAGTTGGAACATTTCATTGGAGGGTTCTGCATTTGTTCTTATTTATTTATGAAGCTTTTTTAAAACCCTCCAACCTATCTGGTGCAAACATGTACTTTTTGTTACTGGGCCCCATACTGTATACTTGGAATAAACATCAAAAAGACTTACATTGGTCTCATTAATACTGCTGAGACAATTGCATTGCTTTTTTGCTAAACCTACTGATAACTTTCATTGCTTTCTAATTTTCTTTTCTTTTTTATTACAAATATATCCATGTATTCTTCTTATATTGCTTTTTCCTTTTAGCTGTGTCTTTATTGGTTGTATATACCAAGACACCATTAAAAAAGAGTGTTCTCCCTCAATGTGTTTTCTGAGGTTAAACATAATAATAATACAAACAAATATATCAATAATAATAATGAAAGAAAATGTATGTCTTGTACAAAGCACTGTTCAGTAAAAAGTACAATGTGTTATCACAGTACAAGGATATCCTTTTAAAGTTCAAGTCCCATTCCCTTTTTTTACGTTACCTTTTGTTTAACCAATTATATTTGATTGTACATTAAAGACTACACTGGCAACATCAACAAGCATCTGATAAGTTGTGAATATAGTGCTAACAGTAGAGATAAGCAGGGCAAAGTGCAGCAGCAGGGTACCTTCTATGGAGCTGTGGAGGACGTTCCCCCAGCGAGCGTAGTGTATGGAGCCTCCACCCGCCCAGGGGAAACAGATGAGCCGGGCCACAGCGTCTGGCCTCTTCCTGAAGCAGCTGATCACCTTTTCCATTCTACTGCAACACAAGAGCAACATCCAACAGTCACTCACGAGTCACATCTGCTGGGAGTTGGTTTATGTTGAAAAGGGGAAAAACACGTAATATTGTTGCTGCACCACCAACAAAATACTGCTTATTATGGGTAACTATAGGCAGAGGTGGGATGTAACTAATTACATTTACTCAAGTACTGTACTTAAGTAGAGTATAGAGATACTTGAGTATTTCCATCTTGTGGTACGTTGTACTTTTGCCCCACTACAATTCAGAGGTAAAGTGTGTACTTTAACTCTACTACATTTATTGAATACGTTTAGTTACTATGTAGATTTTGATAATGATGTGTGATATTATAACTCTTAAATCAGACTTTAGTTCCACCTGGAGTAAATTCACAAGCTACCCTGCAGTATACAAAGTCATTCAAACTAGCTGCACCTTTACCAGCTTTGAGAACACTTTAATTATCAATCATTATAAAACATATCATATATATTATTCTGAAAAGGACCAATCTGCACAATGAATGAGTACTTTTACTGTTGGTACTTTAAGTATATTTTGATGCTAATACTTTTGTACTTTTATTTGAGTAACATTTTGATTGCAAGACTATTACTTGTAATAGAGTATTCCTAGACAAGAGTACTTCTACTTTTACTTAAGAACAAGATCTGAGTACTTCTCCCACCTCTGAGTATAACAATGGTAATCATACCTGTTTGTTGCAGGCAGCTCCATCAACTTCTCCCAGGAAAGCTGTGCTAATTCTTCATGCTATCACTTCCTGGTTATTTTTCTTCTATGGTACTTCTATGGAGCTGTTGTATAAAGTTTAGTGTGTATTCTGGAGACATCTACAGTATGGAGTGTGTATGTCCATCATTATCAGTAGGCTTTCACTGAGCTATTAATTAATAATTTCATAATTTGTAATAAGATAAATCTTATATAACATATATCGATAGGACAGGATACAACAACAATACACGCAGAAATGTAACATCATTCATGACGTAAATAGATGAGAAAGTTTCCCGGAAGTGACGTTGTTTTCTATAGTTGGTATTTCCCTATGGTATTTCCTGACGGATTTCCCTCGGAGGTAGAGGAGGCAGCAACAGCATGGTCAAGTTAGACACAATTAAACAGGCAAATACCGAAAATACCACAACCTTCCCTGATAAATTGATAGTATTGATCTGCATTTACTTTTGAAGCAATACAAAATACTTAGCGAAAGTAGCAATACAAATAGCCTACACTAGTATTCAGGTCTTCAAAATAAAGGCATTTTCAGAAGTACTATCTGTAAGTCAGGACCATTTGTGCAGAATGGACCTTTCAAACATGTGTATATCAATATGTACTTTTGTATATTATTTTAGTGTACTAACACATTGAAATGCAAATTATTGGTTTGATTTATCCAGTGTTACAGAATTGGACGACATCAAATATGTATATATTAATTTAATTTTTAAGGACTCTAAAATAATTAAATAAGAAGGAATAATTACTGTTAAGGCGGGTTGACATTCAAATAAACATAGCCTCATTTCAACGATACATGCATTTAGTTTATTTTAAATATTTTTACTAGTTTACTGTATATTTTTTATGTAAAACCTTAATAAGAAAAATGTGATGGAGTTAAAAACCAAATATAAACATTCAAAGTTGAGGCGAGTAGCATGAAGTAGGCCAGTTTATAATGGAAGTACCTCAAAGAGTGGATATTTGACTTATTTACAAGGCTTTGACAAGGCCCTACATCACTTATTCTTTGTCAGCAGCTCAACTTTTCTTTTTAATTATGCACCAAAACTATGGGATTACTTACCAAAGGGATGCCATCTCTCCTTTTGATTATTATCTTCAACATGTTTTAATGCTCTTATGCCTGACTATTTTAATTTCTATGTTATACACATTTTTTTCTTCTTAGCATACTCTTCTCTTCTTGTTTTTATTAATGTTTTGGTTTATTTTCTTGATATCAAAGCACTTTGAAATATGCTATATAAAATTCAATAGGACAGACTTGTGCTTTTATTTTGACAGGGTATTCCGGATGTCTTCATTTCATATTCTCGCTAGCTTTACATTAGTGAGCAAGAGGGCGGTGTAAGTGCAGATTTCAGACCGGGTACTCGCCAATACCGAGGAGGACGCCGGGGCAGTGAACCCCTTATATCTGTTTGATAAAGAAGAACAACTCCAGGATATTCAAGTTTACCAACCGGGACGACGGATTCAGCCAGTGACAGGGTAAATATTCATACCGGTGCTTTGTGTCGAGTTGCCAGTCAGTTGCTAGTTGTCGTCGGCTAAAGCTAACTGTCGCTGTTAGCTTAACCACCGTCAGTTAAATTTAACCAACTCCGAATAAAGCTGTCACAAACAATTCCAACTCCAAACATGACGTCGTTTTTCTTTCAGATACAACATAAAGAACTTCCAAAGACGGATTGGGGTACATTTTGTACTACTTTGAGCTGTCATTTTCGGTAAGGCAGTTCGGTGGGGAAGAATACTTCCAGCCGAGGGGACCCCTCAAGCGGCCCGCTTACACTCAGCAGAGACCGAAGCCTGGGGAGCAGGGAACCGCGGAGCCGGAGTGCGGCGTGTCGGCCAGCGGGTAGCCGAGTCCTAACCTGTGCGGGGAGAAGTAATCACTGGGCGCCGGGTCATCCGGACAGAGACCTCATGAATGGAAATCGGAACAACAGGTGGGATCCCCCGACTAACCGCCATGCTTAATTTGGTGTTCAGGTGCTGCACTTGAGTTATTTGCAGACAGTGTGCAGGCTAGACACACGTTAGACCCCCATGATTGCACATTTGGGATCGGCAAGTTGATATCAGCATAGGTTGTAGATGTACTCAGATCTTGTAAATCAGTCAAATTAGAAGTACCATAGTGTAGGAATACTCTTTAACAAGTACAAGTCCTGCATTCAAAAATGTTACTCGATTAAGAGCACAACATAATTAGCATACAACAAATACTTAAAGTAACAGAAAGTAATAGTACTCATTATGCAGATTGGCCCACTTCAGAAACATATATAGTAATGGATTATAATGATACATGTGTCACAGCTGGTAAAGATGGAACCTGTTGAATGACTTTCTATACTGCAGATGTAACTTAAGTCATATTTCAGTGATGACTATATTTCATATCATTATTCCACAAACTGCAAAGTACTGAAGATATTAATTAAATGTAGGTGAGTAAAAGTACACTTAACTCTGTATTGTAGTCCGGTAGAAGTACAGAGTAGCAAAATAAATTAAATACCCAAAGTATACAATGTCCTCCAAAGTGTACTTAAGTACAGTACTTAAGTAAATGCACTTATTTACTTTACACCATTGGATATAAATTGTTAACACTGTGGCAGTGGTGGAAAGTAACTAAACCATGTACTTAAGTACCATGTTGATGCACTAGTACTAGATTATTTCCTTTTTATGCTGTTTTATTCTAATTTAGAGAAAACTATTACTTATTTGATAACTTTAGTTACTAGATGATTTTCATAAATATATTATTGATAAAACATTTAAATTAACCTTTCAATTATGTTGTAGTATTATACATTAAGCTGAGGTTTACAAAGTAATTAATTAGAAACAGCTCCACCTTTAGCACTTGCTAAATTAAAATTATAAACGCATAAAGAATCACTAACTATAATCCAGTTATCCAATCTATATGATTCTACAGTACTTTCACTTCTGGTACTTAAAGAAGAACAATACTTTGATACATTTACTTAAATAATATTTTAATTATATGCCTTTTGCTTGTATCAGACTATTTTTGCTCTGTAGTATTACTACTTTTCTCAAGTACACTAAATGCAATGTAATGTAAAAGTACACAATCTGAATACTTCCTTCACTGTGCACTGCACTGCATCATGGGCACTGGAGGACAAGCAGCTCAGCTTGAAAACCCCATTCAAATTCCCATCTCCAGCTCTAACAGTCATAATATACTGGCTTTATTGTTACTCAACAGAGTTTTACCGGTCATATTTGCGCCTCGGTGTGCACGTGTGTTTGTAGGTATTCCCCCAAACCAGTCCCGCAGGCTTTTCTGTATCTTCTCTACGTCATTCTCTTCCTAGCTGTCAGTGGCAGGTGGTGATCCCGTCAGGTGTGCTTGAAGCCTGAGAGGGGCTGACTCACTTTCAGTTGTGTGTGTTTGTGGGTGTGTGTTCATCTTTTTTGAAGGGCAGGCTTTCAAACCAGCTGCTGCTATAGTTACCCTAGCTATTGAATAATGTTCAGTTAACAGCTCCCTCTCATAATTACAAATCAATTGAGCGTGGATGGACTGTCAATTTACATTGGTTGCCAAGGGGCACACATTGTGAGAACAAAGCTATCGGAGAGAAACATACATTTAGCAAACAGTGTCAGCCTGTCCAAACCCAGAGACATGTTACATTTATAGTGTAAAGTAAACATAGAAAAGCTGTAAATCCTCATGATTAAGGAGCTGGAAGATAATAATGTTAATCATAATTAGCTTTATTAAAGGGGCCCTATTGGGCTCAATTTCTGACTTTTTATTTGCATTTAGTGTCTCTCCTGGGACATGTCTCCATGCTTTAATGTTCAAAAAGCTCTTTATTTTTCTCATACTGCCTGTGCTGCAGCACCTCTTTTCACCCTCTGTCTGAAACAGAGCCCAGTCTGCTCTGATTGGCTAGCTGTAATTGGTCAACCTTAGAGATGTCCCGCCCCTTAGCCTATCACCTACAATGTGTTGGAGCACTGGCCAATAGAAGCTTCAGTGTTACATAGTAAGGTCACTATATGAGGTCAGTGTTTCCCCTACCATTGTCTTGGAGGGGCGCTGCACCCCGCCAACGGAGCCCTGCCCCCCCCCTGAAATTCAAGGTGTTTAAAAAATGTGTTTTAAATTTGCACCAAATTGCAACTAATCTATATCTACTGTCACTTTTCACATTGAACATGTGCTCTTTATTAAATAAACTAAACGCTTTCATTTGTTGTGAGTTTAGTGTTTGTGACCCTAAGAAACACTGATGCATTAATCAATAACAATAGTCCACAGATCCTCTCTCTGCTCCAGATGATTTAAAAAGTATATATCCCAATGCTGCTGTCTTAGTTGAGGATGTTTTCTACATTTCCTCGAAAGAAAATCTAAGTTGGAATTGTGTGTGTTATTGATGATTAAAACACCTTTCTTTAGTTTTTCATAAAACTTAAGACATTGAAACAAAATCGTTCTACAGAAAAAGCAAGGAGAGGAGGACTCGCTATGAGCCTTTATTTTGTCAGTCATTACCGGTCATTACACACAGAACTAACGGGATCTTCTTAAGGGCAGATGTAGTTAAAATGGATTGATAAAAGTATTAAATAGACAATATTGAAAAATACCTGATAATAAAATAACCAAAAAATACTGAAAGCATTGGAATGACGTGAAAATAAGAAACTGATAGTTAAAATAAAGTTAAAAAAGTTACATTTCATTAAGTTTTCTGGCTGCCCCAAATCATTCACTATTCGCATATAGTCCAATATATAAAAAGTTTGCCAGAATGTATAGTGAGAAATATTAGGGATGGGTATCGAGAACCGGTACTAAGTCAATACCGGTACCTGATTGGACGGTATCGGTATACCGTTAAGCCGCTGGACAAATGGTGCTGCTATCGGTATATGTGTTACGTCTACTTCCTTAGTTTAACTTTAAACCATTCTGGCTGGTTGGGAACCCTCATCCCGTGTGATGTATCCGGGTTGAGACCCCTCTGATTGGCCACTGTAAATGCCACTCGTCATCTCTCTCAACAGCGCTCTTATTATAGAGAACCGCAGTGACGTGTCCTAAAACCCGGAAGTAAGTTAGCATTTTTAGCACTTCCGGTTCCTTCGTCATAAAGCAATGCATTTTCTCCATAGGGTTTTGGAAAATAGCTCGAAATAAGGTCTGTGGTTGACACAAATTTAAGAGATAACTCACGTTTTGTTCTACGATATTAAATACATCAGCAGTGACCCCACTGGTGATTTTTGAAGAGTTTACGTGTCTCAAAAACGATGGTTGTTACCGAGTGGCTGAATAGGACTACAGAAATTGTCGAGGCCGTTGTACGTCATTACGCCTAAACACTCCCGCTAAGTTTGTTTTCCCCCGTGTTCTGCTTGAAAGTAAGTACCTGCCTATCTTTAGTATCTGTAGTATCTTTAGTATCTGTATATCTATATCTGACCATTAGAATCTGTATTTTTGAAATTGTCATTTTTAACACCGTAGTTTTACAAATTATAGAACAATTAATTACCAGTGTTTTCCAATTTTACTCGGCAGTTCGTTTCGTTGGCTAACGTTAGCTAAAGCTAGCGCTACTAGTTAGCTACGCAATGGTTTGTTGCTTTGCTCCGGGTTGCAGCCACAGGTCTTCGCATGAAACGTGCTCGTTCTATCGTTTCCCGGCCAATGTTTTCCAAAGGAGAGTCTGGATTCGTGATATGAGGTAAGCTGACGTTAAATTTTTGTCCATGTCACGGTGACATTTAAATGATGGGTAGTGACTGTATCGCCGTTTTAGAGATGGCACTGCTGAAAAGACTGCAACATAAGTAAAGATAATGAATACATCCTATTAAAACCTGTGTGGCTTATATGATAAGTCTAATTAGTACAAGCAGCATAACGTTTCACCATGTAACTAAAGATTGTAGTCACGGAAATCAGTTTGACATATTGAACTAATAACAAATCACCTCTGGCTGGCAGAGAACTCTCTGCTCCATAGCTTCTCTTGGACGTAAAATCACATGTACATTTTACATTTATATTCAATTTAATATTCCATCCCTCACATACTTTTGTATATATAATAACTTATATTTTGTTTTTCTTGTTATGCTGCTGCAACACAAACATTTCCCAAATTGGGATCAATACAGTAATCTCTTATCTTAATTAAGAAATATAACTATTATAATTAGTGTAGCAGCTGACACCTATTTTGAATATGGATTAATCTACCTTTATTTCTTTAGTTCAATTTTGATCTATAAAAATGTCAAAATAGTGTAAATGTTCACGAGACTTATCAAAGTGCAAGGTTATATCTTTAGATGTTTTTGTTTTAGCCTATGTACTGTATGTCTTAATGCTCTTATATGTGACGGTGTGACTTCCATGAAACTAATATTTTATATCTTCCCAACAGACGAGCTGACAGGAAACCTAACACTCTAACAACCACAACATTACAAAGGCGAGTAAATGTAAATTAAAAACGATTCACAATTTCTTAATTTCTTCTTCTTTCTTGCAGTGAGGTGAAGCTGACCTTGCACTTGGTGCCAGTAAGGATGCTCCTCACGCAGGCTGAATGTTACTCCTTCCTTACTGACACAGAAGCCCTTGATTTGCAATGCTTCACTAATTGTGATTTCCCTGGCTCCGTAGGGACACTTTACCTCCAGACCATCTGGAGATGGCCCCAACACTCCTGATTGGGAGGGCCACAAACCTGACTCATGGACCTGCATCTGGGTTGCAGTGGTGAATGCCCTGACGCCCTCACATTCATTCATAGTCCCCCACTGTACAGACAAAACACCATCAAGGGCCTGTTGTTGCCCTAGCACCCTGGCAATAAGGGAAGCAGTCACACGCTTTGACCTCAGGACAGCTCCAAAGTTGCTGGCAGTCAACCTT